TGATAAACATTTTTTTTTACATTCTTGTATTCAGAGTACCGAGGATGTATTGAAATCTTTCAAAAATTCGAAAACAAGATCTTGATAAATCTCGAAGTTTCACACTTCGCTGAGTCGGAAAAACTAAGTTGTGTAATTTTGTCCGTATGCCTTTGTGTCTGTTATCTGTGGAAACGATAACTTGAATTCAGTTTCAGTTATGTTGATGAAATTAAATAAATAATCATAATATCGAATTTGTAGTTCCGTATCAAAGTTTTGATGAATTTGTCGGTAACCGAAAGTAGTACTTATATTACTTCCGTTTACCAAAATCAAATAACTTGAAAAGCTTTTAGGTTAGGTGGATAAAAAGTGACATAAGTATACATTGAATGCGTAAGTTTATTTCAACTTAAATCGGTTTTTTTAATAACAAGAAATCTTAACAGGAAATAAAATAACTTCATTACTTCCAACATTTTAGTGTTCTCCAATAACACAAAAGGTTGTTTACTCTGTTTCTGATTTTACAAATACCGAAAATTTAATAACGTATCAATAGACCAAATTTATACCTTTGTTTAAGATCTTATTCTCACTTAATACAGGCAAATTTTAGGTTATTTTTAAGCTCATACGTAGTACTTTAAGTCTTCTCCGGTTTTTTATCAAAGGTAACTAAGTTAACTTTATACAGTACTAATCCTCCACTCATTTGTTTTTTGTTCTCATTGTGTTAACTTTTTTTTCTATATTCGTTTCTATTCTGTTAATTTTTTTTTAAATAACCATATAATAATTTCATTTACACTATTGCACTGGAAGTTGTTTGTTGTTGAGAAATTGGAAATTGCGTACATTACTACTTCTGTTCAACAGAAATTAATCAAAATTTGACATATGGCAGAAAAATAGATATTTTACTTATGTTTGAAATTTCGTTTGTTTATCTGTAATAGAAGTAATGATATAGGCTTTTGAAAAACCAAAAGTAAAATAAGTTCCCCTTTCGGTTACCATAAAGCTGTAAAAAGTTAAAAAAGAACTACAAATGTGATATAATACTTATATATGAAATGTCGTCAACCTAGGTGTAACGTTACTCTAGTTATCGTGTTCACAAACACACACAGAGACATACGGACAGAATTGTAAAGCCCAGTTTTTTCCGAATCGATTACGCATACTACGCTGGAATTTTGTTAAATCTGCATTTTTTATTTTTGTCCGATTAAAATAAGTCCCTTGCGCTTCGTATATGATGAAGTACTGAGGTGAAAAACGATGAGAACTTTCTTAATTCCATGTGATTTGTGTGCACAATTACAATACTTCCTCTATACTCTGTGTACGAGAAAGTAAAAATGGACTTTGTAATTGTTTATATAAGTAAATTGACTTTTAACATTATTCATAAACATGCACCTTTGTATAAAGTAGTAGCTAATTATTGCCAGTGGTTACATTTACAAAAAAAGTATTTTTCGTGGAGCTTTAATATTGGTTGGATGAGAGTGAAATAATTTTCAATTAAAAAAAACAAACATAAAATTTGTTTAACATGTAGGCCCTATTATATTTGTGTAAGCTGGTAACAATGATGAACAGTAAAAATAAGGCAGCAGTGAGCTACACACAACTTTCTTGTATATTCTTTTATAATATTAGAGGTTAGGGTGGAATTTTAAGTTGAATAGGTCTATAGAAATTAAAAGTTTAAGGGAAGAAGAACCGATGTTTTTCAAGAAAAAAAAACAGAGGCGTATTTTTCCCAGGATATGCTAGTTCATGGTTATATGAAATAAAATATCAAATATTGAAGGATTTTTAGAAATTGAAAATTTACTATAATTTTCCAATAACCAGAATGATTCGTGTTCACAGGGAAATGGAAACAAAAACCCACTTTTGTTTACCAGAAATCACTGAGTTTACGTTGATTAATATCATAATAGTTTGTTTTTCTTGGCGACGCTGAATTAAGGTGTAATAATAATAATAATAATAGGACGATCATCATCTCAAATGTAGCGTATAACATAGTTTTCTTGGAAGTTGTGTTTGATTATCGGTTGCAAACTTTACTTAAGACATCTATTTTACGAATAAATTATGTCTTAGCCTTGTCTTTTAAACATGGGAATGCAATTGCACTTAATATTCGGTTTTCAAAAAAAAATATTTTTGTAGTATATATCTTTCATTTTAATGTAGTTTTTGTTTGTTTTAAAATTAGACAAAATATAACATATTTTATATATATATATATATATATATATATATATATATATATATATATATATATATATATATATATCTGTGTGTGTATGTGATTGTGTGTGTGTTAATAATATATTCTTCATTGCAGATGAAAATAAAAGGTTCTATTCATTTCCCGTAAACAAAACGGAAAATACTATTTTCGACCAACAGCAAAATTCTTCCATGTCGTTTAAAGAGAAAATATTAATTATCGTATTTGTATCAGTACTTTTGATCCTACTTTTTATTAATTACAGCAGAAGGTAATTTCATTTTTAAATTAATTCGTGAACATAAAAAATAATAATTGTTAATGAACTTCGACCGAAAAATTTGAAATGATAAAACAAAAATCTAAGAATTCTTCATTTCAAAGCTATTACAGATCAAGTAGAGGGAACCCTGCACGGGATTGATGAATCCGTTTTAAAACAATTGGAAGTAACTGATTTCATCTCGGCGTAGTTGTTTTTTCGTTATTTGCATGTGATAATACTGCTAAAAAGTTATATTCTTTTAATAGACAATAGTATGATATATAAATAAATGTAACAACATTGGTTCTGCTTTAATGTTCAATAATATACATTATTTTCGTTTAGTGTGCGTTATATTTTTTTTAATCTATACATTTTCTTTTGTTGAGTTTGTTACCATCATACTTAAGGAATTATTTATTTAGCGCTTTCTGAAAGAGTTATATTTTACTTATTGTATATATAGGTGTATTATCATAGTTGATAACCATCTTGTTTATCATATAGCAATGTTCAAAGCATGTCGAAACAAGACGTTAATAATATTGTAAAAATACCTCGAAAACAGGTGAAAATTTTCTACCAAATGTCACATGTTCGGAGCATGGTTTAAGTCTGTAGGTCGTCTCTGAGTCCACCCGGCTGAGTACTTGACTCAAGTTAAGGAAAGACTAGGCATAGTGCTGACCTTACTATCACTTGATAAACTGAAGTTACAGAAGCTGGTGAGATCTACCTCATCAGTCTCAAAGAAGGCCAGGTTTCAGCAAGGAATTTTTTTTTATTACTTCAACTCTATAAAACTAACTCTCTCCTCGCTCCCACAAACTAGTGCAGGAAAAATAAACTGTTAAACCTTTTAATGTGAGTTGGTTACTATCTTGGCATTATTTATTTAGAACGGTTATAGGTTGTATTGAATTCCGAACTAGATCTACCTCGATAGAATTTTTATCATAGCAAGCTTTTAGAAACATTCTCGAATGTTACAATGACTTATTCATTGTAGTGACTGATAAACAAGAAATGCAACTATATTTATCAACCGGACTCTGTTTTTGTTAGCTCTCCTCAGTTAAGCCTACGTAAGCCCAGCAGCACTTGATTCTCCGAAAGCGTTACATAGAGACGACAAACTGGCTTACTAACTACCTTTATTCTTTCAAAGGGTTATATAGACAGAATTTTTAAAAAATATTAATCCATTGGTTAATAAGTCACACACACTCTAGGTGCAATAAAAAGCAAGCATAGTCATACATTTTAATTTAAAGTTCATTATCTTGTAAGAAGTACGTTGGAATCAATAAAAATAAAATTCACTGTATGTTTGGTGTCAGTTGATATTTTAAACATAATAATATAAGTACGAGAAAAGGTTTAATTGTAAGGTATACAACTCTAACATATTTAATCTAAATTGTTTAGTTGTATTTTAAGTTTTTGAATTATTAAAACATGTATTACCAGTGGGGTAGCCAGGATTGTAACATTGGGGGGGGGGGGGGGGAGGTTCAATATTTTCCAGCATTATATGTGTTGTGAATGGACCTAAATGTATGGAATGAGTTTGAGAGTATGTGTGTAGTTGAATAGAGTTAATATAGTTGTGGATGGCTTGAGAGTATGTGTGTAGTTGAATAGAGTTAATATAGTTGTGGATGGTTTGAGAGTATGTGTGTAGCGATATTAATAAAAGATTATGAATGCATAAATAAATAAGGATGTGACGTAGGGGAGAATGTTTTCGTTGTTAAGAAGATAGTTGAGAGTCAGTCTGCGTCTTGTCGTCGTCATGTGAGGTTGTGTTAGGAAGTCTTCGTCCTGTGTCTGCTGTTGATGTAGCTGTTTATTATATGTAATAAAATATAGAAACATCGTGGCGTCGTTCAGTGTTCTCCCTTTGGATCGTCGTCATCTATTGTTCGTCACGTTCAGCATCGACCCTGTACCGAAACTCACTTCGCAACATATGGTGGAGCAGCAGCGGGTTTCTTCCTAAATCGTCAACTGTTCGTTGGAAGAGTTTACGTCATCACCATCGTCTAACCCACATCGTCGTGATCCCGAAACTCACTTCGCAACATATGGTGGAAGCAGCGGTTTGCTGAACCTATCTGTCGTAGTACGTTCCCATCTGCACATGCCGTAATGTCATCTCATCTGTGGCCAGCAGTATGCCTTCATCTAGATTCGCCCGTTATCTACAGCAGTACGTCGTAATTATCACTATCAACGGTTGTTTAATTTGATCGGGACTCAGTTGTGTGCCAGACTCTGACCTTGGACCGTGATGAATGGACTTTTCGACGCGTGATGTGGCCTGCTCGAGTCGTCGTCGTTTGCCGGAGACGGACTTCTGGTTGACCGGCGCGATATCCAGCGACTATATCGGGTCTCTCATCGCCCATTGATTCCCGTCAAGGTTAGAACTACGGATGTGGCCGTTTTCATCTTTGGTTCGTGCTGAGCAGTAGTTCAAAGGCCGGCATTTATTTGATGTCCACAGTTGTTTATTATGACGTCATCGCCACTCGTCCCCGACCCTCTACAATGACCGTGCTGTTTTCGTCGTGATGAATCTATCGTTTGTGCAGATTTTCTTCATGACCATTGAAGAATGCTTCATTTTCGGGTTCCACCTACATCGCCAACTGTTCGTCGGAAGGGTTTACTTTATCATCTTCGTATAACCCACATCGTCGTGATCGGCTGAATTGTTTGGCCTACATGTTTTGATGACGTCCCTGACCTTCATCATGTCAAATTTCTTAGTGGTTGACCTTATCGACAGTGCAGACGAGAATTTTCTTCGTTTGTTCAACCCAGTATTGGTCGAGATGAATTCCCGAACTACAAGAACGACATTATCTACATAGATTCTCGAGGTACAAGTCGACGTCAATCTGCGTCATCAATCCAGTGTGTGTGACTGTCCTGGACTATACCGGCATGTGTACTACAAGTCATCGCCTGAATCTGATGTGGCCTATGGAGTGTGGGATCTGGAGTTGTTATGAAGACCTGACGTCTGGGATTGTTTTAAGTTGAGTACACCTCTTCCATTTTTTTTAGATACTAAGATCTAATACAATTTTTTTTTTGTTCATTTTTAGTAATATTTGTTTAGGCCCTACTGGATATAAATTTTTTCCCCAACATCATTGATCTAGATCTAGAATCCAGTTACCAATGTCATAGTTCACACTAATTGTGTAACATTTCATTTGCCCTTTAATTTTGAATCTAGTTTTATTTAATATTTAGAAGCAAATCATGTAATAATTAGGACAACTAGACACTATCTACCATCTATATAAAAGTCGGTCTAGATCTGGTGAATTCTAGTGTAAGATAATAACAACCAGTTACTGGTTCACTAATGATTAGTTTCAACAATACCTGTTAATTAATATTGGTAGATCTATATGGTTTTACTCTTTCCAAATACCATCATGGAGATAGAGTACTGTATTTTGTCATTATGTATATAATTTTGGTGGTAGTTATACTGTTTACTATAATTTAAATTTAAATGTATAATTAACGTGTCTTATGTTAATTACAATTAACCATTCTCATTTAGGGAAGCGCCTTAGAGAGGGCGTTATTGAAATATATAGCGTTAGGTTCCCTTTTTGTGGATGGTCTTAATATGTATTAACTATATGGAATTTGTTACTTTGTTAGTGTTAGGTTTAGGGACTCTTTGGTGTATTAGATATGATATCAATTGAGGATATATTTTCTGATTTGGCTGTTGGACCCAGTATTTTCCCTGTTTCCCGTGTAGAGTAGTTGATTTTATTGTCGTAGTCACCCATTCATGCTAGATGCTGTCTGGTTGATACGTAACTTAGTTATATGATGGATAGTGATTATGGTTATTTGGATCTCGATGGTTTGCCGAGATATTTTGTTTGTCCCGGGGTCATGGAAAATTGTCCTCCATTAGATATTATATTTCTATACTAGAGATATAGCAATATGGTGGTATTTTAGGTACAATGTGCTAAATTATTATATCCTAAGAGGTTTGATTTTCTTGGTTGGATAATGAACCCATTAGCTTAGTGTTGTTGTTTTTTTTTTGAGATAATTGATCTTCGCTAGATAATGATTTTGTTTTGCGAGACTGAGGATGCAGTCCGCGTTATTTTTTGGTATCTCGAGGTTGTGCCGAGTACCTGGTTGTTGTGTTTGGGGGTTCACGGGAAATACTCCTCCATGTGATATTGTATTGGCTTATTGGAAGTGTTGATGGTTCTAATTTAGTTAATTGGTGTACTCCATTGTATGGATTGACTATAATATCTTTAGGTGGTAATTGGTTCAAATATGGAGTGCTGGTATTTGCTTGAACCGTTGATTTCCTGATTGTTGGATAGTAGTTTTTATGATGATTAGGGAACTATTGAGTTATATAATATATGGCCAAATCGTATTGATTTAAAATATTAGTTGGGATTTAATTTTCACATTTTAGAAGCTATGTGACTTTGCTATTTGGTAGTAATATTATATTTTAAGGACAGGAAGAGGTGCTCAACAGGGGTACTTATATATTAAACATGAATTTTAAGATTTAGGAACATGCTGGTCCTGGATTATTTTTCTTTTAGCTTGTGTTGATGTCCAGAGACAAGAAACCAAAAGACGTGGGTGGACAAGGTGTTGGTTGGGACCAAAAGATTTGTGTGTTCAGGTTGACTGACGACGGTGATGAAGAACCATGGACCACAGAACATTGTCTTTGTTGCATATTGCATGTATATATGTAGCATATTGTATGGATGCATGTCTTATGAAGTTGAAGCTGAAAATAGTTTGATAGTTCTGGTATGTATTTTCAGCTGAGGAAAGGAGAGGGGTATGTTGTGAATGGACCTAAATGTATGGAATGAGTTTGAGAGTATGTGTGTAGTTGAATAGAGTTAATATAGTTGTGGATGGCTTGAGAGTATGTGTGTAGTTGAATAGAGTTAATATAGTTGTGGAT